GTCCACAGGATTCAAATTCTTGATTTGATGTGGGTGGTCGTTTTTTTTAATTTACTGTAGGATTTAGTAGTGTTGTTCTTTTAACAGGACGCTTGTGGCAACTTTGTTTATTTCAAAATTTACTGGTTGATTGGATACAGCCGTATTTTGTTGGATTTATTTGGCGTCTTCGTCAATCTTGAGATTGCCGGTTCAGTTTGTTTTTCGAAGGTGCTCGTTGAGTTAGTGTATATATATCTTTGTCTATAGGAATAGGTGTGGGTGCATGTGTAAATGTCTATGATGTAATTAAAAAAATTGATTCTCCGTGCAAGTGATCAGCTCATAGATCCCGAAATCCTAATCCGTGCCGTGATGTCCGTTAGCATCGTGTTGCGGAGGACCGACAGCGGCACCGAGCCCACGAGCACGAGGCCGACTGGCCGAGGCTGCTGGGCTCAAGCTGGCCCTGGCCCCCTCCAGGCGCGAGGGCCAGCCCATTGCGCGGAGACAGCAGGCTCCCGGCCTGTCCCCTTGGCGCGGCAGACCTTTTCCGCTTCACGTGCGCCGCGGCAGCCATCCGTGCGGCGGCCGGCGGGTGGCAGTAGGGCACCGCACCATGGCGTGGCGCCGGAGCGACACCACCTGACCGTTGGTTCTCATCACATAAACCAGCCAGTCATTACCATCGTGAAGTGCACAAGCACAGGGGAGCACAAAAGCAGGCCGTAGCGTTCACTCAATAAAGGTACCATTTTTTTCTTATAAAAGGGAACAAAAGCCGCCGCCAACGAGCTAAAACTATCCGCGGCCTCTTACATAGGATTACTGTACTTGCATTAGGTTATACTAGCACATAACACGCGCTCCGCTGCAGCGGGCTAATGAACAGTGCAAAAAACACGAACGAAGTATTTTTGAGCATTAGCAGTAAAGTGAATAGTAACGGTAATGCTCTCATCAGAGCGTCCATCGCTCCGGACACACCTTTCTGGCCCTGCAGAGCCCAATATGCCTGCTCCCCTCTCTCACACGCTTGACTAGTCTAGATGCGGTGCTAGCCCCTCTTCTCTCGTTGCGCTGCTCTCTCTCCCTTTCTGGTTGCTGCTCACGCACGCGTACCATGCCGGCCGAGCCCGAAGCTCCTAGGTCGTTGTTGCTCCTTCCTTATAGCCCTCTCGCGCAACACTCCTGGCTCCTCCAACGCCGCCTCAGACTCGTAGTCCCCCTGTGCATGGCTAAGCAAATCTCGCTGTCGCCCCCTTTTTCCTGCTCGTCGTGGCTACAAGACAGGAACTGTGGTAAGCCGCCCCTAGTGGCTCTCCACCTAGCCAGCCACACTACCTCCGCGTCCGCCTCGCCTCCCTCCATCTCCTGCACGCGTTCGCCGGGGTGGATATCTGCCGGCACATCGCCGCCGCTGGTGTTGCCTTTGGCATGCTGCTGGTATGCGCGGTTGGCCCTATACTGAGCCTCCATTCGTCCAAGTAGCAAGTAGATGTTGCGTCTGGAAGCGAATGTTTGCAAGCATATGTTTCAAATATTTCAGATGTTTTAAAGGTATATTGCAACTGTTTCACATGTGTAGTGGACCGTGACGCCTAAGAGGGGGGGTTGAATTAGACAACTTAAAATTCTGGCTCTAAGCTATGGCCTCTTTTTCTAACCGTAGCAAAACCTATGCAAAAGATAAACTATCTAAATGTGCAACAACGGTTTTACTAGTGTGTTGCTATCTCTACCGCAAAAGAAGTAATACAAACAATGTAAATGCGGAAGCTAAAGAGCAAGGTAGAGATATGCAAACTTCCATCGATGACTCCGGTATTTTTACTGAGGTATCGAGAAGCGCACAAGCTTCCCCCTAGTCCTCGTTGAAGCCTCTCGCAAGGAATCCCTCGCAAGGGCCAAGCTCCCGGTCGAGGTAACTCCGTGGATAGCTCCGGGCCTTCCCCACGCGCAAGTGGGTCTCCGGTGTGCCTTCCGGCAAGCCTCTCCCAGAACGCTCCCTGCCGTCTTCACTATCAAGCTTCTGGCCGAAACGTCGTGGGCCTTGTTCCCTCCGGTACACGGTGGTGGCCACACTACAAACTCAGTTGATGTGATCTCGCAAGACTACAAGCCCCTCCGATGTACAACAATGATGCGCGCAAGCACCGAGTGGTAAAAGGTTTGCAAACCTCACTAAACACTAGGTCTAAACCTAAAGGTTTGCAAACCTCACTAAACACTAGGTCTAAACCTAGAGCAAGCGCATAAGCGGTGGTCTAATCAACCTAAGCACTTCGTAAAAGCACCTACGCTAATCACCTAATGAATCACTAAGCACTATGCAAGTGGAGATCACTAAAATGATGTATCAACACCCTAGAGATGTTTCCTCAGCTCCACTATACTCAAATGGTCGGTTGGGGGGTCTCTTTATAAGCCCCACTGAGAAGTAGTAGCCGTTGGGGGATGAAATTCTGCTTTTCTGCTACTGACCGGATGCTGTTGTCGTTCTAATCGGACACGTCTGGTTGTCTTGACCGTTAGAGCGCGCGATCAACTGATCGGACGCTGATGGCGTCTGGTCACATGCCACCGGACGCGTCCGGTCGCAACTTCGCCGCTCTGGAACCTCTATGTACTTGATCGGACGCTGCAGTTTCCTGCGTCCGGTCGATTAGCCGCCAGCGTCCGGTCAGTGCTGAGTGTGTTGCCGGGACGATGAACAGTGCCATCGGTGTGTCTGGTCACTTTCAGTCCTCAGCGTCCGGTCGCTGCTGCTGTTGCCGAGCCTCTTGATCGGAGCGTTTGGTCGCTACGACGCCAGCGTCCGGTCAGTGTTGTGAAGCTCGTTTCTTCGCGATCTTGTGTTCGGCTTGGTTCATATTTTCGTGCTTAGACTTTGTTTGATATCTTGGGTCTTCTCTTGTGCTTCTAGGGTCTTGCTTATGGTGTTGATCGTGGGATCATCACGTCGCCTTCGTTTAAGTCACGTTTTGCACCATATTGAACTACAAAACAATCACTTGCAAATTCATTAGTCCAATTTGGTTGTGTTGGTCATCACACCAAAATCCAAAGTAAATTGGCATATGGTCCATTTTCCTTACAACATGGATGTTACAAAAGTAGATCAAGATGTTCATATGTTGAAATGATGTACACGTATGTTGCAAACGTCTGTTCGAAATGTTTCATTTATTTTTCAAACGTATGTTGCAGGTGTGTTTATCTGAATGTTGCATATATGTTTCACACATATATTGCAAGTGCTTATCTGAATGTTACATATGTTTTTCAATGGCTTTTCGAGTATTTTCAGATGTTTTTTTGCAATTGTTTCAAACGTATGTTTTAAGTGTTTCATCTGTCTTCATACGTATGTTGTAAATGTTTTATCTGGATATTTCAAAAATAGAACGGGTGTTGCTGCTGGGACCCACCTGCCGTAGCAGGTGTCCGTCCCGACGGGGAAGTAGAGGGGGCACGAGCGGTCTTCGTGCGGGGTCTGGAGGCGTGGCCCCCCACGTGGGACGCTAGCACTGCTGGAATAGTAATGAACAACACTAAATAGTGTTGAATAGAGAAATGAATAGTATTAGACAGTACTAAATACTGGCGTGCAGTAAAGGAAGCATGGATGCATGAGTCCATGGATGGCCTTCATTCTATTCCCGGTCGAGGGATCATTATATTAAACAATGCAAGAGGCCCTTGATGGTCTTCATTTTATTCCATCTAATGGCTATTATTGTCAATGATGAATAGTGCTGATAAATATATGACTGGATGTTTTCTGATTTTTAAGGAATTTTTAGGATTAATCTTTTTAATAGCTTGTCTTGTGAATAATAACGTAGAGGTATATTGCTGTAATAGTAAGATTTAATCTAGTGGCGTGAAGTAGGTCAGAAACCAAAACGAGTTTGCCTCTCAGAGCCACAGTGCAATCGCATCATAATCAGCTCAGCTGCCCCCTCTCCTGTGCACCTTGCAGAGCCAGAGCCAGTGCTACGAGTAAGTAAAAGACGGTTAATTGGATAAACAATCTGGAATGAAGTTGCCGTTACAGCAAAGGTAAAAAAGAAATAGGCACTGCGTGTGTTACTTTCGCGGCCGCCACAAGTGCGATCCAAGACGATTGACGAAGTGCGTGGCTACGCTAATCCCACAGCAAAGAGCGGCGAATAGCCGAATACATTGGGGCAGTTTTGTTCATTAGCTTGGCACATGTGTTGCCTCGTCAAATAAAGACGCAGCATTGTTGGACGGATCAAGACGTCGTCTTGAACGGCGAGCAGAGGACGAGGACACGGGTAACGGCTGGTCGAGGCATCCATGCCTTTCCGGAAAGGAGCCGTGCCCGTGCCCGGATTGATGCTGCACCGTGTTCTTCAGGATACCGAGGAACCATGACCCTCAGCATGTAGATTGTATTATTGTAGACTTCATCACTTGACAAGATGTATACACAGGATAAAATACAACATGTACAGTAAGTTATTTTAATTCCTCTTTTGCAAGAGGGAGAGGAAAACAGATCCAGCTCTGACAGAAAGATACCATGTATAGGCACAGTGGCACACCCAATGTTAGATCTATAATAATAGTCATATTATACTTCATATGTACAGGTATTATCCACGAAAGCAGCCATTCTACATGTTCTCTGTATCTCCGAGATCGGATACCCTATTTGTCATGTTCTCACTAGCTGAGCTTTCTTGGTTCCCATACCGCATCATGACGCTTTGGACATCTTTGTCTGCATTTATTTATGTACTCTTGTTGCCATCTTGCCTCTACGATTGCGAGTGGCAGGGACGAGGAAAAGTGCAGTTAACGGCCACCCGTTCCATTCCTCCGGGATTCCAGTACAGGCTTTATTTTCCCACGCATCCAGTAACTCAGCAGCAGTTTCAGGAAGCTGCTGCTTTCATACAACAGATCTCCTATACACACTTGCCATCCAAACCGCAGTCCTTCCCTTTGTATCTCCGCTGCGCATCCCTGTGTGTGGCTGCGCGTCTGTCATGGCTTCTTCTCCAGGCAGAGCTATGTTCTTCCTCGGGCTATCCCTGGTGCTACTAGGCGACCTTCGCTGCAGTTCTTGTTCTCAGGTTTGTTTCGGTACAATCAGTACTCTACCAACTCCAATGCACGCCACTGCTCTGTTGGATTTTTCTCCACGGTAGTTAACTCTTCTGCACTTAATGAGCTACCACTTGTTTCTTGAGGTCTTCCAGTGTTGTAACCCTTTCCAAATGGATGCCAACTTCAGGTGTATGTGGTTTACATGGGCAAAGGGTCGCAGGACGACAGTGATCGTCAGCATGACATCTTGAGGCTTCACCACCAGATGCTGACTGCTGTTCACGATGGAAGGTCCATAACAAACTCGTTTTCATTCCTTAGCTGTCGATACCCCTCTAGCTTCCAGTGCTGTTGCATGCAGTATCTTGAGTGGATGCTTCCTCTTCACAGCTCGGAGAAGGCGCAGGCATCACACGTCTACACTTACAGCAGCGGTTTCCAAGGATTCGCTGCCAAACTGAACAAAAGGCAAGCCACGAAATTAGCCGGTAATTTCACAACTCATGGTTTCTACTTTCTAGAGTTTGTTATTATATGTATGTAGCACACTGAACCAAAAGGCTAGCCATGAAATGAGTCCAGCTGTGACGGCAGTGATGCCAAAAGGCTAATTCTGATGTGCGTTTCTTCAGAGATGCCTGGTGTCGTCTCGGTGTTCCCAAACACAAAGAGGAGATTGTGCACCACCCATTCTTGGGATTTCATGGGCTTGTCCACCAATGCAGAGGGTGAGGTCCCTGGATTGTCCACCAACAACCAGGAGAACGTCATTGTTGGATTCATTGACACAGGTGAGTAGAATTGCAATACCATACTCAGTTCAAATTGTACTGACATTTTTCAGTCAGTGTGAATATTTGTTATGTTCTTTCCATCAATAATTCCAGTTGTATTCTAGCTTACAAACTGCCAAGACATGTCAGCGTTGCAACTGGCAGTATGTACCTTTTCCTTCCACATGATGTTTGTGTTGTCATGTTTAACTTACGCATCAAATGATTGTTTGGCCATAAAGTTAGAAACAAAAAGGATGGCATCAGATTGATAGAAACCTGTCCATCAAAATCATAAAATTCTAGTTAACTGTTTACCTTCACAGGAATTTGGCCAGAATCCCCTAGTTTCAGTGATCATGGGATGCCTCCGGTTCCTAAAAGATGGAGAGGGCAATGCCAAAGCGGAGAGGCAAATTCACCATCAAATTTCACCTGTAACAGGTACATACTTTAAAATTAACCCACAGTATCCAGTATTGATTTTATAATAAAGTCACCCATTTACCCAAATACAATAGGAAGATAATAGGAGGTAGATATTACCTCAATGGATACCAAACAGAAGAGAGTGGTTCAAGTAAAAATGCCATCAAGTTCATATCTCCAAGAGATAGCTCAGGGCATGGCAGCCATACTGCCTCAATAGCAGCTGGAAGATTTGTCAGAAACATGAATTACGGAGGTTTGGGCACTGGAGGAGGTCGGGGAGGAGCCCCCATGGCAAGGATTGCAGCCTATAAGGCCTGCTGGGATTCTGGCTGTTATGATGTTGACATTCTCGCAGCATTTGATGATGCCATCAGAGATGGCGTCGACATTATATCAGTGTCTCTAGGTCCAGACTATCCTCAGGGTGACTATCTCAGCGACGCTATATCCATCGGGTCATTCCATGCGACAAACAATGGAATACTGGTCGTTTCTTCAGCAGGAAATGCTGGGAGACAGGGCTCAGCAACTAACCTTGCGCCATGGATGCTCACAGTAGCTGCAGGAACAACTGATAGATCATTTTCTTCATATATCAGACTGGCAAATGGTACCTTCATAATGGTAATTTTCATTCTTAAAAATGATACCTTCAGTCTTTATTACTTATGCAGTCTTAAGAATACTTTTGAACAATGTACCTTTCATGAAGGGTGAGAGCTTGAGTACATACCACATGAAAACTTCCGTTAGAACTATTTCAGCTTCGGAAGTCAATGCAGGCTATTTCACCCCTTATCAATCCAGGTAAACAAACAACTATCTCGAAAGACAATCATGATTTCAATTATCAACCAACTGAATTTCTTGTGGACTTGTTGTTAGCTTGTGTCTGGATAGCTCTTTAAATAGTACCAAGGCCAAGGGAAAGATTCTTATTTGCCGACGTAATGAAGGCTCCTCCGAATCACGTTTAGCAACGAGTATGACTGTAAAGGAAGCTGGTGCAGTTGGGATGATTCTCATTGATGAGCTGGAGGATCATGTTGCTAATCACTTTGCTGTTCCTGGAGTCACTGTTGGGAAAGCCATGGGTGACAAAATTCTTTCTTATGTCAAAAGTACAAGGTTGTCTAAACTTACTATAGGAAGTACATTTTATTGGCATGCCAATCTTTTATCTAAAGTCAGTTCTACAGGCATGCCAGTACAATGATCTTGCCAGCAAAGACGATCTTAGGGTTGCGAGATGCCCCACGGGTAGCGGCATTCTCTTCAAGAGGTCCAAGTTCATTGACACCTGAGATTCTGAAGGTAACCATTACTAAACTGCTGGGAAAGACTAATATAGGTGATAAATTGATTGACATCCTGCTAAGTTCCTTCTCCATGTGTGCATTTTTGTAGCCGGACGTCGCTGCTCCTGGGCTGAACATCTTGGCGGCATGGTCTCCTGCTAAGAATGATATGCACTTCAACATTCTGTCTGGGACTTCCATGGCATGTCCACATGTTACAGGAATAGCAGCTCTTGTGAAAAGTGTATATCCATCATGGTCTCCTTCAGCCATCAAATCAGCAATCATGACAACAGGTATTAGTGGGTAACCTGAAATCTCTGAAGATAAACTAGTGTTGCAACCAATCTCACGAATCTTATTTGCAGCAACTGTACTGAACACTAAAAGGAAAACCATAGCAAGGGACCCTAATGGGAGGACTGCGGCAACGCCATTTGACTTTGGCTCGGGTTTTGTGGATCCCATCAAAGCTCTCAACCCAGGGATAATCTTTGATGCACAACCTGAAGACTACAAGTCATTCTTATGTACTACAAGCTGCGATGATCACTCCTTGCATCTAATTACCGGAGACAACAGTAGCTGCACCCACAGAGCCTCCTCTTCCGCCACTGCTCTGAACTACCCATCAATCACCATTCCATTTCTGAAGCAGAGCTATTCGGTCATGCGGACTATGACTAATGTGGGTAATCCAAGGAGCACTTACCATGCTGTGGTGTCAGCTCCTCGAGGCATCAGCGTGAGAGTGACACCAGAAGTTATAAATTTCGAGAACTACGGTGCAACGAGGACGTTCACAGTTAGCTTATATGTGGATGTGCCTCCTCGAGGTTATGTTTTTGGCTCTTTATCTTGGCATGGAAATGGAACAGACGCTCGCGTGACGATGCCGTTGGTAGTGAAAGTACAGACTTCTGACAAGGCCTGATTGAGTCGATCCCCTGGAAAGATGCTTGAAAGAGGTTGCTAGAATGCTAGATTAGACTACGAATGTAGTGTAAAGTGGTAGAACTGAATAGATGAGAAGCTAACCGCAACCAATTTGTTATAATATCATAGTATTAACTATGGTATTTGATTTGATTTGTAAATGTCTTGGCTAGAATGCAACCACTCCCAGAACAAGATTCTTTTTCCCCTGATGATTGTTGTAAAATTATTTCGTGACTAAATCCAAATCTTAAGAATGCAGGAGTTGCTGGATTTAACGTTCAGCTAACGAATGCCCCAGGCTTTACCCACCAGGATTCTGCTCCTTGCAATGATCACGGATCCGACAGATGCGAACAGATTCCTAGTACTGAAACTTGGTCGCCCCGATGAAGTCCCCATGAGCTGATTCCCCCGTGTGGTAGTTGAATGGTCGTGAAATTAGGGAGAGAAATGAAGAGATGGCCAGAGCTCGGGTCTCACCTGTGACACGTCTCGTCGCTGCGTCGCAATGGCGCCGTCATCTCCCTCCTCGCCACTCGCCCACGGCCCACTCCACCCACCCGAGTGCCCCTTTGCCGATGTGCCGACCGAGGGTCTCCCCTTTGTCGCCGATCCGCCTGGAGAGAAAGAGAGTTGTAGAGGCGGCCCGCGGCCAAGCCCGGGGGGGACCTCCATGGTTGCCGCATTGGCGTTTTGTGTCTGGTTATCAGACTGAAACGACAGCGTGTGCTTTCATTTATCAGGCTGCCGCGAGGCACCGAGACCGCCCGATGGTGGCGGAGGCGGACGCGGGGGAGACGGGTGGCGGAGGTGCCGATGGACGCGGAGGTCGTAACAGGGAGAGTGAGAGTGGGAAGGAGAGGTGGAGTGCACCCTGTGATGCGCGTGCGGCGGCGCGGGATTCACGGGGGAGGGGTTCTAACTTGGGGTTGGCGCGAAGATGGGGGGGAGCTTGGTTGGTTGCGCAGTGGACCGCGGCGTAGAGGCGGAGGCGCATCGGACGGATGGACGCTGGAGGGCTCGGCTTCCTCGTCGCGGGCTCCCGGCGCGAGTTCGTCGTCCTCAACGTCGACGACTTCTCCAAGGTAAGCCGCCGGACGTCGAGCCAATTAACTTTTTCCCCCATTTGGCTTCCTTCCAGCCTGAACGGATTGTGGGATAGTGCCAATTTTGAATATTAATTTTCCATTACTTTTACAAGAAAAACGTAAACTAAGCTCGAGTCGCTTTGTGGATATTTTTCTCTTCTTTGGTGATGTTAGATTTGGCGTACTATTTCCTGTTTGGAAGAAATGGAGAAGCATTGTACTATAGTTAGAGGAAACCCTCGGTGTGAAATAAATGGAACAGCAGGCTTGTTTCACTGCATATCATGTTGCTTTAATATCACTTTTGTTACTTGGGCATGTTAGTGTGTAGGCTCTTGCTTAGTTGCATATGGCTAACAAATCATATTTTGTTATCAAACTTTCCTTGAGCTCTCACTGTTACTTCTATTTGTGTTGGCGTCACATTGCAGCAAGGATCTTCACAGGGCTATCCAGACTATATTTGTCAGATATGCGAAGATGACATTGACATGCTCCAGGAAGAAAATGAGTATTTCGTCGCATGTAATGATTGTGCTTTCCCTGTTTGCCGCACTTGTTATGAGTACGAGCGTCAGGAGGGCACACAAGCATGCCCTCGCTGCAAGACCCGGTACAAACGCCACAAAGGTATGACTTTTGCTCCTTGAGCTTGTATCAGTTTTTCAGCTTTGTTATATCCAAAATGAGAAATTAAAGAGTCTTTCATCTGTTAGAGCAACTCCAAGAGAGTTGCTATTTCCTATTCTATAATCTGATTTAGAGAATTTGATGTAAAATAGATCTCCAACAGACTATCTATCTCATTGTCCAAACATAGCCACCGGCTATTCCTCAATTTTCACTCGGCAAAGAAAGCTAGCTGCGTTCGCTAGCCATCTCCGCGTGAACCCCGTTTGCGCGTGCAGCATTAGCTCCTCCCGTGCATTTTCGCCCAGTCCTGTGCGCCAGTGCCCTCTCCCGCTTGCTGCCGCCGCCGCACCACCGCGAGCACCTCGTTGGCGGTGTTGTAGTGCCGGACACGGTTGTCCAGCGCATCGTCTTTCGTCGGAGCAGTAACGCTTCCCCGGCGATTGTTGGCCTCCACGGGCTACACTTTTGACGCCGGGAACGGGACCTGCGCCACGGGCTCGTGCGTGACGGCGCTCAGGTGCGGGGCGTCCGGCGGCGTACCGCCCCTGTCAGCCTCGCCGAGTTCACGCTTGCCTCCGACCGAGACTTCAACGACGTCAGCCGGTGGATGGCTTCAACAATCGATTGGTTTTATTTGCAGTGTTCCGGCCAACGAGGTGTTCGCGGTGGTGCCATGGCAGCGATGGTAGGCTGGTGTGACCGAGCAGACCGAGGCCTTGGCTTGGGGCCTTTTGCTGGAAAACGGCTGGCGATCTCTACTTGTCACCGAATGCGTTGGCCAGTGACCGGCTGCTCCCTCCGTGTGAGAGACCCTGCGCAGGCGACGGACGTAGGACTGCCGATCGGATCTTTGATGAGAGAAACGTGATGACACTGCAGTTTCAAAAATATAGACAAGAGAATTTAGATAAGCTGTTGCGGTACCCTACTTTTTAAGTGGCTTTTGTATTTTAGATAATAGCTAAATCATGTAATTTGGAATATCTTTTTACATAAGCTCTTGGAGTTGCTCTTAGGTAGTCCTCGAGTCCATGGGGATGAGGAAGAAGAAGGTTCTGATGACATTGAGAGTGAGTTTGCTTCCAGTATAGCTGGAAGATCAAATATAGTGCATCCATACCGTGTCTCTGTGGCAGAAAGCTCCATCAACTCATGGGACATTGATAGTGTAAGTATCACGAACAGTGGAACAAGTGTCCATTTCTATGAAGAGGTAATGAACTTTGATATCCCAATCTATCTGCCACCCATTCTAGTAGTACTGGTGATAAGGTCACATGTTTGCTTTTGCAGCATGTTGGAACTCCAACAAATCATCATGCTCTTGTTGTTCACCCTAACACTGGAGAAATTATGCGATATAATCCCTGTAAGTTTCCCTTTCAAATAGTCTTACTTTACTTTTTCCTGTGCTACTGCATCGGTAGCTTACCATTTGGTTTTGCTGTTGTTTTAGTGCAAACGAGACCAATAAATCCTAATAGAGACCTAGCATTGTATGGCTATGGATCGGTTGCCTGGAAGAACAGAGTTGAGTGGAAAAGAAAACAACAGCATAAAATGCAAAAGGTCTCATCCGATGGTGAAGGATCTGATTTAAATGATTTTGACAGTGATCGCGATATTCCCAGGTGAGCGCATTATATTGTATCAGTAGTATCAGCAAATGCAAAAGAATGCCTTGTGCAATTGATTGTGCAAAAAATGGTGTGCTAGTTTTCTCAAGAAATTATCTGCTTTGGACCTTGTAAGGACATAATTTGCCTACCTGAAGTAAGCATATTTGTATCTTGTCACTATTGGTAGTCATCGTGCTTTCACCTAGAGGAAATTTTAGAATTAAGCCATAAATCATTTTGGTGCCTTTTGCCAGACCTGGAATCAATAGAAATATTGGCTTTTGAAATGTTTTCTTCTATCCTGCATCTTTTGGTTTGTATAAAGCAAGTACTTGCTTTCTCACTGACAAGTGTCTAATACATTCTAGGTGTGCTGAAAGCAAGCAGCAACTATCAAGGAAGTTACCTATTCCATCTAGCAAAATAAACCCTTACAGGATTGTAATCAGTTTGCGGCTAGCCATTCTTGCCTTATTTTTCCACTATCGGATTCTGAATCCTGTACATGATGCTCACTGGTTGTGGTTGACTTCAGTTATTTGTGAAATTTGGTTCGCTTTTTCATGGATTTTGGACCAATTTCCCAAGTGGCACCCAATACAGAGAGAAACATACTTGGATCGATTATCATTAAGGTAAATTATCTACCTAAACTAAATATAGGCATAGAATCAGTTACATTTTTGTATAATTTGTGAAATTTTGCCCCCCTTAGGTACGAGAAGGAAGGAAAACCACCAGAACTGGCTCCAATCGATGTATTTGTCAGTACAGTTGATCCAATGAAGGAACATCCTTTAATTATTGCAAACACAGTTTTGTCTATACTGGCTGTGGATTATCCTGTTGATAAAGTTTGCTGCTATGTGTCGGATGATGGTGCTGCAATGCTTACTTTTGAAGCACTTACAGAAACATGTCTATTTGCACGAAAATGGGTTCCCTTCTGTAAGAAGCACAAAATCGAGCCTCGGGCTCCTGAATGGTATTTTGCTCAGAAAATTGACTATTTAAGAGAAAAGGTTCACCCAGAGTTTGTTCGAGAACAACGTGCAATGAAGGTTAGTTCATATGACAGACTAGGGAAGTAAGACTATTTGGACTTCATTTAATAGGCTTTTTGTTTGTTCATGACTCACTAGACATTTGCTAAAATGAAACTGTACTTAACATCACGCATAGCATTCGTATGGCCTAGTAATGAGGCGGGGATATGAGATTTGCAAGAGTAAGAACATTAAATGATGCACTTTTACTTTCACATTCTCTGTTCTGCTACTGACAATGATGCAATATCTGTAGAAGCATGCTTGCGTGCCTAAGTGCCTGCTTACAAGATTGTTTTTGCATTCTGATCTCAGCTTGGTTTAATACACATTATACTTGTTGATGTGTGTTTGCAACTAATTAGACTATTTTTAACCTGCATTTTGGTTTTCATACAGAGAGAATATGAAGAATTTAAGGTTCGTATAAACGCAGTAGTTGCTAATTCACGCAAAGTTCCCGAGGGAGGATGGTCCCTACCAGAAGGAGCTCCATGGCATGGAAATAATGTTCGAGACCATGCCGGGATGGTCCAGGTTGGGTGCTTTATTTGTCTCTAAAAGCCAGCTTTTTTTAATACTTCATTTACTTTTTTTTATTGCTTGATGCACTTTGTTATTCTTTTTCTTTGTCAAACTTTGTTGAGCCTTGAATTTCCATAGAAAAAGTAATATGCAAAATGTGATGCATGCTGTTTTGTTTTGTAATTTTGAATTGTTCTTACATATCTTGTGATTTCACCAGGTCATCACTGGCCATGATTGTGTCCTGGATGATGCTGGAAATAAGCTGCCTTGGTTGGTCTATGTTTCACGAGAGAAAAGGCCTGGTTATGATCATCATAAAAAGGCTGGTGCCTTGAATGCGTTGGTAATCTATAGTGTTCTATCCATGTCTTTTCTTTGAGCAAGAGCAATCATATGAAGCTGTTACATCAGTCACTTCCTCCAAGTAACAATCTCCCTTTTTTTATTTTAGCTGCGAACTTCAGCAATTCTGTCCAACGCACCTTTTGTCCTGAATGTGGATTGTGACCACTATATGAACAATAGCAAAGCACTACGGGAGGCAATGTGTTTTCTGATGGACCCAGTATTGGGAGAGAAGATTTGTTATGTTCAATTTCCTCAGAGATTTGATGGCATTGATCAACACGATAGATATTCAAACCACAATGTTGTGTTTTTTGATGTATGTGTGGCATGAATTGATTCTAACTTTATCCGAAAGACATAAAAGATAGTATTCTGAACAAGTTTCTGCATTATCTACTTTTCTGTACAGATTAACATGAAAGGTCTTGATGGGATCCAAGGACCAATATATGTTGGGACTGGTTGTGTTTTCAGAAGACATGCTTTGTATGGATATGATGCCCCAACTGCAACAAAACCTCCTAGCAAGACATGTAACTGCTGGCCGAAGTCATGCTGCTTGTGTTGTGGATCGAAAAGAAAATGTTCCAAAGCTAAGAAAAAGCAAGAACACCAGAAGAAAGTGAAATGCAGGGATGCGTCCAAGCAAGTGCATGCTCTCGAAGTGGCTGGTGAGTTTGGTTCTGTTCCGTTGCTCCTATTCTTCATTTTATGTTCTCCAAAGTACTTATGGAGCCTGATCCGCATATCTCAAAATAAATAGGAAGAGAAACTGCACCCCCTGCGCCTCAAGAAAAGTTTGAGAAGAGATTTGGGCAGTCAGATGCATTTTTGGCTTCGACATTGCAAGATAATGGTGAAGGTTGTCGCTTTGACATGCTCAAAAGCCTTGATGATTGCATCCATGTGCTAAGTTATGGGTATTAGAGAATAAGACACAATGGGGAAAAGAGGTAACTTTGCCCCATCCTGTCTTTGTTTTTCCTTTTTCAATGTAGTTCCAGATCAGACTCTTGAAATTGTGTTTGTGCCCTAGAAATAAAAGAAAATTTGCAACGTAGCATCCAAGAATGCTTTTAGCTAACTCGATGTAATTATCTAGGTTGGTTGGATTTATGGATCTGTCACTGAGGATATCCTCACGGGCTTCAAGATGCACTGCCATGGTTGGCAATCTGTTTACTGCATGCCCAAGAGACCAGCATTCAAGGGATCCGCTCCTATCAATCTCACTGATCGTCTCCATCAAGTTCTAAGATGGGCACTTGGCTCTGTGGAGATCTTTCTTAGCAAGCACTGCCCAATATGGTATGGGTATCGATGTGGTCTGAAACCATTGGAGAGATTGTCATATATCAACTCTGTCATCTATCCGTGGACATCAATTCCTCTGCTAATTTACTGTGCCCTGCCAGCATTTTGCCTGTTATCTGGGAAGTTTATGGTGCCTGAGGTACTGCACGAAACAATAATATCGCTCTATGCTACTCTGCTTATAGGGTTTCGTTTATAGATTATAGATGATGATATCTATTTCTTCTTTCCTTTTACAGATGAATATCTATTCAAGCATATTGTTCATAGCTCTATTTGTCTCCATAGCAGCTACCAGCATCCTTGAGATGCAGTGGGGAGGAGTCGGAATCAATGATTGGTGGAGAAATGAACAGTTTTGGGTTATTGGTGGTGTCTCCTCACACCTCTCTGCACTGTGCCAAGGGCTTCTTAAGGTTCTTGGTGGTGTAAATACTAAGTTCAGGGTGACTTCGAAGGGAGGCGACACAGATGAGTTCTCAGAGCTGTATGAGTTCAAGTGGACCTGGCTATTGGTCCCTCCGATGACATTGCTCTTGCTAAACGTTGTCGGAGTCTTGGCTGGTGTATCCAAGGCAATAACGGATGGATACGAAGCCTGGGGCCCACTGCTTGGCAAGCTGTTCTTCTCCTTCTGGGTTATCCTCCATCTCCACCCGTTCCTCAAGGGCGTGATTGGCAAGCAGAACAGGGTGCCGACCATTGTTGTTGTATTGTCTGTGCTACTAGCATCCATATTCTCTCTTTTGTGGGTCCGTGTAAGTCCGTTCGCCACCAAGTTTGATGGCCCAGTTCTAGAGGTTTGTGGTTTGGAATGCGAATGAGGTAGAAGATACAGTTTATATAGGAAATAGATTTATCATTTTTAGCGTAGAGTAGTGAGAGGGTTATATTCTTTCATTAGTTATTCAACTTGTTTTTATTCTTTGATGATTGCTGATTAGCATAGGTTTTAGTGAAGTAACGTTTTAGGAAAATATGTGTTTATGAACAGGAGGAAAATAGAAAAGGGAGAAAATAGTGCTACTGTTGTAGATATTGAGACAGGCACAATAGACTGACACTTGGTACATTTCCCCGTGTACATCGGTTGAGAGAACTGTGCATTTCGCCTGCACCGTTTCAAACTTTGAATGTGGCTGTGCTTCTTCAATCGAATTTTGGGGGTACATGGTAGCAATCCCAGTACACAAGGTCAAGAGTTTCAGGTAAATGCCAAAAAAAAAAAAAAACTCCCTTTGTAAGTATCAGCTTGGCCGTCTCCAGTTTCTTTATGTTGCTGTTATGGTCTTTTCTTGCTGGTTTGCAAGGACAACTGTTCCTGTTTTCTTATGTGTTCCGATTTTGTAAATTGTGTTAGTCGAACTATACTTGTCAGCTCACCTTGTGTATTGATGGAAAAAAGAAGCCAGACAGTGCTCGCTAATTTGAGCACCCAATGGAACTTAGGATTTGTGTTCCAGGAAGGACTGGTACTCAGAATTCCCATGGTAATTGCTATTGCTAAGTCCAGTTGTGCTCAATGGCGCGGCTCTCTATCACTGACGGACGCCATGCCGAGCAAGACCATGAACATCATAGGGCCACTATATCACTATCAAGCTCCGTGTTGTTTCTGGAGGTGACTTGGAGGAGGTTTGTATGTACCCGGTCTCTGCAAGCGTCAAGCGTCACCCATCGAGCCCATTCCTCCCTGCATCTTGTGATCTTGTCCGTGCGGCCATTGACACGAACTCATCACCTAACAGTTACCAACCCTTGCTGCATGTAGCCATGTACTAGACATACTAAGAGGTGAACGAACACTGTTTGTTTTTCCCGGGCCACTGGTGTGAGAACGGAGAGGAGTAGGCGTGTGCAGTATGCTGTGCAGTTAAAGTGAGCTGGTCCGAATTTAAGTGGCACTCAAGCTTCTCCGTACTTTGCACAGTGATCAATAAGAGCTAATAAGGGCCTGTTTGATACCTCATACTAAATTTTAGTCACCCAAACTTTAGGCCTAGGCATCCAAACATGTAAGCTTAAAGTGAACCAAACTTTAGTTTTCACCTCAACTAGACATTAGTCCACCGGTTGGCAAATGTGGACTAAAGTGAACTAAAAGATGCTCACGAGTCTATGCCTAAGCAATCTTTTCACTTTTAGTTCAGTCCATGTATCAAACACACTTGACTAAAAATGCTCCATCTAAATTTTAGCTCAACTAAACATTAGTTCATCTAAACTTTAGCTGTAGATCATCCAAACAGAGCAGCAGATCACACAGTTTGTTTGTACTTAAAGATAATGGAAGTACAGCTCGATCCGATCCCTCTCATAACTTGCCGTCGTTCTAGTAGGCTTGCTGAAGCAAATAGCAGTACAGCTACCATGTAACGTTCATTATTAGTGGCCGTTAATAAAATTATTATAGGAGAACATCTCAGTACTGCCACCGTCGTCTTTGATTAGGTCTTAGTAAGTGCTTGGAGTCCTGTCCTGGCCTCCAAGAAGGTCGTCTAACTAGCTTTTTGTAAAGGGGAGTTGCCGTTCAATCGTTCATAGATGTTGCTTTAGCTTTCCATGGCCGTCCTCCCTCCGCTCTGCAACTGCAAGCAGAGTGGTACTTTGCTCAGCTCTCCCGTCTTGGTTTGTGATTTGCTCAAGTCCTGTTTGGATTAGAGCGGGTACTTTGGATGGAGCTGTGGTGGTGACTGGTGATGGGCGATTAGGCAAGTTTTCGTTGGTGCCAAAGTGGAATGTGTACTGACCTGCAGACATCACGCCTAGCGCTGTATCCGGGAGCAGATGAGGCCTCTCATCACAAAGAGGCAGGACGCGCTGTGAGCAAATGTGTACTCGTACCACGGCCACGGGTGCACCATTACCTCCTTCTCAGCTTGTTGTAATGGGTACCACTAGAATTTGTTGCAGCTGTCCAAGCTAAGCTAGGACAGTTGTTGGTCAATCACAACCACCTCACCTTCATTAGTAGTAGTGTAGTATATATGTGCAATCCTTGGAAGACTAACGCGTTTCGATTGAGCTGGATCAAACTTTGCGAAAGTAGATCATGGTCATGGCGCCAAAGCACGGGGCATTGCTTGACTTGATCGAGCAGCAATTGTAGTGCTCAATTTCTTACAGGCCTCACATTAATGGATGGAGTCAACAGGCGATTCTTACCAGCAATGCTCAATTTCTTAGCATAGTTATCTATATGCAGTGATTTTATCATAGTTTCGTATCTCTACGGCATTGTTCACTGTTATTGGGTTATATAAGCTCTAGGTCCACTATGATGTTAAATAGAATAGAGTAGTGTTTAGTGTCCACCACCTTCGTGGTATATACTCACTGTATGGGGGCTAAGAGTAGGTGGACAATAGAAGTCTCCACTGTCCACCGACTCTTTAGCCCCAATATAGTGAGCTAAGCTTGAGGTGGAACGTCAATGCAAGAGGATGGCATGCTAAAGAGGGAACCAGTGTGTTAGTTAGAAAAAGTAATAATGGAGAGTTAAGCACACGTCCGTAGTAGCAGGGCGTCGTCAAAATCAAAGAGGACCGACCATGCACTCTCTTTCGCCAATAAATTAAAGGCACACTTTTATTTTAACCAGGTAGCGTGTCCGTGCGTTGCTACGGAATAACTAATAATTTATAGTAAAAACACACGGATCGCACGATAAGATAACAATACCGTAAAAAACAAATACCAACGTTAAAGTGACAGTTAATTCAAAAAGCATAGTTTGTGAAATTAATAGTCACGGAGAGCGCGGCGTCGCAGGCTCACAAACTCTACTGTATAGACTTTTTCGTGATGCAGCTAGGATCATGCCCGTGCATTACAACGGGAACAAGATAATGTCACGATAATTTAAATTCGATCGTGCATTGTATTGTTAAAAAAATGATTTTGACCGTGACATTCACAACAATCCATTTGTAGCCCATAGTTGTAATTTTGGATGGAGACATTTATTTAAATACCCATGCATCTCCTACTCACAACAATCACAAACCATATTTGTAGTTACATATATAGTTTTTTAGTTTAGTGCCCATACTTTGTCTAAATACCGGCCGCTCCAATAAATCACCCGACCTCTCACAACCCGAAGGTGAAAGCCTGCAGTGCCATGAAAACTAATCACTCAATTTATGCTCATTGATGCCTCCTTATATACTGTCGTCATTCTACAAAACCATAGAAAGCCTCATGAAGGAAGCCTCATGTTAACGACAAGAATAAGCCTTTTGCAGATGATGGCATTCCGAAGGAAGAAAAAGATTGGTATCAAACAATCCCTACTAAACCTCGGGCCCAACACAAGGCCTTAACCCAAGCCTAGAAGAATTGATTACTTAACTATCAGTCAACAAGCTCGTAGTATATACTTGATAGGACAATTACTTAAAAGGTTCATCTGAGGACACTTGCATAAACATTGCAGTTACAAAAAGCTAATAAGAAAAATACAGTTTAACAATTTAGACTTTAAAAACTCTATAGGGGAACAAAGAAGGCAATGGTCAACCTGTTAGACACCCGTCGCTGATGATCGCCTGGTCAGCGAACTTCATGTCCTAAGCAGTTGTGGTGAGTTACACAACGGGTCGCAGGTCGGTTGTCTTTGGCTATCAAACATACAAGTAATAATTTAATGAAATATAAGAGAAATCCATGAAGCATTAAATTGATGAATAGTGTAAGAACCTGCATGTCGGTTGGCTTTGGCTATCAATCAGATTTGAGCATGAGCAAATTCCTTGAACACAGTAGATCGCGCACCATTCAGACTGCATTCAAAGTAATTTGTATCAGATCACCCTATTCATAATCGTAGAATCAATCAGATATGTTGGCTAAGGCTAAATTAATGTGGTTTATGATTATATGATGCCTGAACTTATGTGGAAGGTAAATGAAGTTGAGATGAATAGCAAGTTCATTTTTGTTAAAAAATGTGCAGCTATTCACTTCGCTATTGTCAGTTGGTGAAAAGAGCAACTACTGCAACCAAGCTGTGAATGTATGGAACGTCGGCAAACTGATGCTAACTATACATAAAGATGAGCAATTGGGCAATCATTCGAAAATTTTAAAGAAACTAATAAATAATGGTGTGAGATCGAAAACAATTGATTGAAATAGAAACACAACAGATCTACAGTTGTTGGACTTGGAAACTCAAACTGCTAACAAAAATAATCTACAAGCCTTTCCATGCTCTATTAAACTAAAGCTAAAATTTAGATGGATATGCCAAAATAAGATGTCAACAATGACGTTCACGTACTTAGATCTTAGCTGATCACAAGATTGTGACAATATTAGAAAGAAAAACACAAAGTGTTTGGGTCTTAGCTGATGACAAGATCTTACCTAGAAAGTCATGGTTACACAAACTGAAAGTTGATCCACCGAGGACCAGTGAAAGACAACAAAATTGAGAGAACTTTAGAAGATTAACAGCCTAGTGAACAACTGACTTGCATGACCAAATTAGTTGGTGAAAAGATCAAATTAGATTAACAGCCTAGTGAACAACCGACCTGATCGTGATTCACAGCCTTTCGTCAAGACTCAATACAAGTTAGCGATGGCAGGTTCAAAAAGCACAGGTTTAAGGTCTCCAATTTGACCTTTTGTTGCCTTCGGTGACTTCGCAGTCGATCAGGGCAAAGAAAGAGATGAGATCACGGATTCATGGTAGGGATGTTCCGGGCTTCCGGCCACTCACTCTGACCAGATCGACGAATAGGAAAAGGATGCGACGGCCGCCATAGAGAGCCAAGCACAATGATGTTACCATGCACGATAATGTCACCCAGGCTAT